GGAAAACATGCTGCCTATCAAGAATCAACATTGTCTTCCATTATAGTGGTATCATATTCAAAAGGCCTGGTGTAACTGGAAAAATGAATTAAAGTGGTAATATAATGCTCATCATTAGGCTGCATTGTTTAAGAGATGTTTATATACTGGATTCTGGGACCATTGTGAAAATAATCAAGAGTCAACGTGGCAACATGTGGGGATAGTCAAAGAATCTTTAAAGTGGAAGAATATCCATGTTGACAATTGTTGAGAAAGTTTTCAGAGGAAGTTTCCTACTTCAAATAGGGTAGGAAGCAATTAATATTTGATTCTAAAATGGGAAGAAAAACCCAAAACAAAAATAGCTTAACATTAGTAAAATCTACATAAGAATACTAGATAATATCTTACCTTCACAAGATCGAAGGTCTGGATGGAAGTAATTTGAAATGCTTTAGCTGTCCCACAGTGTGAGACTTTTCACTTCAATGGGGACAAATCAGACACAAATCCTAAAGCAACCTACAGAATGCATATTCTTGGACTCTTTTGCTGTTTGCCAACTGGAACTTATGTGTATACAAGTGCACTGTTAGAACAATCCAGTAAGTAATGCAGGGGAGAGATACCATTAAAATATGAAATCTAACTCCAGAATTTTCTGTAAGTGTACCTACAAAAATGTTTAAAGAAAAATTATTTTTTAAAAAATGTTTAAGGAAAAATATAAAGCACGTAGACTAAGAGTCACAAAATTTCCAAGGTCTGCTATGTACTCTCAAATTCTGAGAGAAGCCAGAGTAACTTGTTTACTCTTTTGGAAATTTCTACTACTATTTTCACTCCCTTTTTGTTTTGTGAGTACATTTGTTGTAGTTTTGTAAAAGTATCTTTTAGTCCTAGATGGCAAGGCCAATGTTTTAAAAGGTTATTCCAGCAAGACATATGCAATACATTATGGAATAGAGTAACTAACACATATGTTTGTGGGAAGGAACCCTTCATAGTACTTATTTGCTTAATATTGGCATTTTTTTCAGAGGGTGGTATTATGACTATTTTGTCAAAAGATTTAAGCTATGTTTGTGCTGTTTTAATCCCTCTACAGTTACTTTCCTTTCTGGTTTCAAGATGTCATTAGAATCTCTGTAGAAAGTGTTTGTGCAACAAATAATTTGAACAAAACTCTGAAAGTCCTATTAGCCATCATGTGGAATCTCTGTTGATACAGAGTATGTTATAAGCATAGAAGTGTGCAATGCAGTACATTGTCTTGCTGTCCAATAGACTGATATTTGTTACCAAACTACATCTGATGTGCCCCAAACAGGTTGACCTGAACTTCATTTTTTCACTTAAATTACTGGCAGGAGGTTATTTATTTTTTATCGTGTCAGGAGCGAACCAAACCAGTTATATTGCATTAAAAAAACAGACAAACAAACAAACAAAACACAAAATTTGCAGACTTGGTATTCTATTAAATGTCCTTTGACCAGTAGCTGGCCACTTGGAGTGCCTCTGGTGTTGCTGCAAGAAGGTCCTCCATTGTGCATGTGGCAGGGCTCAGGTTGCATTGCAGTAGGTGGTCTGTGGTTTGCTCTTCTCCACACTCGCATGTCGTGGATTCCACTTTGTAGCCCCATTTCTTGAGGTTGGCTCTGCATCTCGTGGTGCCAGAGCACAGTCTGTTCAGCGCCTTCCAAGTCGCCCAGTTTTCTGTGTGCCCAGGAGGGAGTCTCTCATTTGGTATCAACCATTGATTGAGGTTCTGGGTTTGACCTTGCCATTTTTGGACTCTCGCTTGCTGAGGTGTTCCAGCGAGTATCTCTGTAGATCTTAGAAAACTATTTCTTGATTTAAGTCATTGGCATGCTGGCTGATACCCAAATAGAGGATGAGCCAGAGATGTCACTGCCTTGGTCCTTTCACTATTGGTTGCTACTTCCCAGCGGATGTCAGGAGGTGGTTTCAGCTGATTTTAGTGTTTACACTCCAAACCCGGGGGGGGGGGGGGGGGGGGGGGGGGGGTGCTTTCATGTTGCTTCCGTGTGGTCTGATATGTGTTACCCATGTGAAATTATTTTTTAAAATAAGCATGGCTAGGCCACATGAACCCTCAAACAAGAAATTTATAATACATACATGTTGTGAGTGTTAGTATTCTAGTCGTAGTACCAGGAGTATCTTCAGCATAGCATTTGTGTCCAACCTCATAATAGTGGGTCAGCAGCTATTGGTCCCCTTGCATAGCATTATGTGCAGGCCTCTTGAAGAGACCCTTGTGTGTCTTTTGCCAAGAAATAGGAGTCAAGAATGACAATGACATATCAACTGTATATGGCAATATGCACTATGTACATTATACTGGGAGTGGGGAGTGTGATGCCTACAGGCACCTGCATAACTTTAAACATCTTCCGTGACACTTCAGCTGGGATTCTTTCCAAAAAAAAAAATCAAGGACCTCCAGACATTGCCATCTTTATTTTCCATAAATGTCTCTTGACCACATGAGGAGCTTAGATGCATTTTTAGGAAGTAAAGATTGCAGACAGCTTTGGGGGCAGTGCTTTTTCCTTCTGTGGGCCTAGCCACTCACAAAAAAAGGGATTGGAAGAGATCCTTCTTATTAATCTCCTGTTGTGCAGGAAAAGATTCAGAGTACAAATAAAAGCAATAAATGCATGCCTAGCCCTATGTATAAATCTGACCTTCCATCCCCAGTCCTCAGTGGATAGGTACATATTTTCCCATTCATTAAAGTTAAGCGTTATTTTTTTAAAAAAAAATTAATGTTACACTCTAGAATGATCCTTAGTATCATCAGGACTTTCCCTTGCAGTATCAGGGCTCACCTCCTCTGACATTGCAAAGCATCAT